GTCCAACCTGGTCTTGAATGTTTCCAGGGATGGGGCCTGGCTTGGATCTGTGTTCCATGGCTTGGATCTGCCACCAAAACACTGTTGATCACATGGGGATGTTTTATTTATTGCTGAGCAGTGCTTACATAGTGTGAAGGCCTTCTCTGTTTCTCACTACCCCACCAGCAAGTCGGCTGGGGGTGCACAAGAAGCTGGGAGGGAGCATAGCTGGGACAGCTGACCCCAACTGACTACAGGGATACTCCACACCAGGTAACACTGTACTCAGCAATAAAAGCTGAGGGAAGAAGAAAGAAGGGGGGACGCTCAGAGCAATGGCGCTTTGTCTTCCCAAGTCACCATTACGCGTGATGGAGCCCTGCTTGCCTGGAGATGCCTGAGCACTTGCCTACTGGTGGGAAGCAGGGAATGAATTCCTTGCTTTGCTTGTGCGCATGGCTTTTACTTTACCTATTAAACTGTCTTTAGCTCGACCCACAATTTTTCTCACTTCCACCGTTCTAATTTTCTCCCCCATCCTGCTGGGGGAAGTGAGTGAGTGGCTGTGTGGGGCTCAACTGCTGGCTGGGGTTAAACCACAACAAGCTGACAGCTGAATAATGCACTTCCTGGCCTATTAATCTTTCAGTGGCTCTTTGGTATTTTTAAACAGCTGTCATTCTCAGACAAGATAAATTAAGGATGAGGTTAAATATCTTCACAAATAGTTGGGACTTTATATGAAGAAGACAATGCGTAGAAACTTCTTTAAAGTTAAGCACGGTCTGAACGCTGTCTGTAACTTTGGACACAGCATCAGCATGTTTAAGAGTTTTGCAGCAAAGTCGAGTTTATTATCTTCAAAAATTAACTTCAAAACATAGTTCTTAGGGAACTATGAAAACCTAGAAAGTCATAGTCCCAAATGTATCAGAATCTGAAGTCAGTAATTCCTAATAATCTGATTATTTTACACAGTCAGTGGGTCAGAGAGTGCTATTCAGCCTCTCAAAAAAAAGCACCCATGCACTCAAACAACTATTAACATATGAAGCTATTCCAATTACACCCAACTACAGGTGCAAGATAGAAGACCGCACCCCAACTTTGCTCTTTTATCTCTATGAAGTACAGCTAAAGATAGTGATTAAGATGGCTCTCAGGAGTTAGTATTTAGCACAGTGAGAATCTGAGTATCAGACAAGAAATGGAAGACGAGACTAACAAAAAACGTCATGGCTCAGACACACATGGCTGTTTAGAAATTTTAAACTCACTTGATGCCAGTGGTTCACAAAATGCCACAAACATGTCCACTTCCTGAAAGGGTCATACCTGTGAAATTTCTGAGTGACTCCTGAGCCAAAAGAAAATCAGGCAAAGCATCCAACAACCAAGATACCCAATGGCCAGGACATTCAGGTATGCAGGACAGTCAGGATCCTGCTTTACTTGTTTTCTAGAAAACAAGCTTCTGGTGAGAGGCCTATGGGCCCATTCCAATTTGCAATGGCAGTAACAAGCTCAATTTTCCCCTTTTATGGAGCATTGCATTCAGTGGTAATAACCAAGTGTTTTATAGCTTTGACTTATGAAGAAACAAGAACCAGTTGTCACATTTGCTGTTGGCTGACATTACTGCCCTAGGTGTTTGGACATTGTCCGTTCTCTTAATAGTAGGGTCCCCCCCAAACCAGTTCAACTACTCATCTGAACCCTTCCTAGCCTCCTTCAGTCAGAATACAGTAGGCTGACAAAAGCTGGCCATCATACTACTCTACCTGTTTGAATTAACCCAGCTCATTGTCTGAAACAGGATTACAGAAGCTCACAAATCACACCATGGGCAGAGAGAACAGACTCAACAGTAAGAGGGTAGCATTTTCAGTTGAAAGTAAGAGGGCATATGCAATCATACTATAATGAATGCCTACATGCTTCCATTACAGTCTGGATTTAACACCAAGGAACAAGACACACATTTCCAGTAGTATTACACCAATTAATCTTGGATACAGACTTACTTTTCTGCAAAGGTATAGTACAGTGTTGAAGGACTTCATTTTCTTCTCAGATATTCCAGTGAAGCCTTTACTGCTTCCTCTGTAGTTGTCCTTGTTACATTCAATGGATGTCACTAAAGATATCTGGACTTCTGTGCCTATCTAATGTTTTGCCTTCTGTGCAAAACCCAAATGCATATGGCAGATCTTTGACATAAACAGATAAACTGGCAATGAAATTATATACACGCCCTGCCCTAAATGACAGTCCTTAAAAGATTAACACATCTACTGCTTACTCATTGTTTTCAAGTGCCTCCATAAATTCTTCCATTACAAAAAAGAGCCCAGGAGTATAAATATCATTAGAAATGAGTAGGTGGCAGCTTAGCTACACATCCACAATGCACCTGCTTTATAAAAGACAGAGACAGGCAATACAGAAATGAGAAGTTTAGGGAAAATGAAGTAAGAAGTGGTGCAACAGATAAACAAGGAAGGTGGCAGAGAGACAGACTAAGGCAAGGAGGAAGAAGGAGGAAATGATGAATTGAGAGTAACACTACACATGCCATTTTTCAGAAAATCTAACATGTCATCAAAAGTGACTTCCACACAGCTGTTCGCGGTCTAACTTGATAGTGGTAGAGGACACAGACAGCAAATCAGCAATTTGTAGATTACAGACTTACAAGTGGGAATAATTCTTCTCATAATGCATAGTCAATTTCTAGAACTTCTTGTTGTGCATATCATGGACACCTTCTTTTTAAAACAAAACAAAAAATATGCACTTGGAAATGTAGTGAGTAGACAGGCCCATGGAAGATCATTAATATTGTAATGCTACCTAGGGCTCAGGAAGTCCTTGAGCTACAAAAACCTGATAGCTGGGAGAGCACTGCAGGTGACTACTACCATATACCTATCATCAGCAGCAATATTCTTCACACAGCATCCACCACTGAGTATCACTGTAAAGACAGTCGTGGCTTAGACCATTTGTCTGATTCAGTCTGGCTGTTCTCATTAATGAAAGCAATGAGACCATTCAGTAACCATGAATTTAATGGAGGCAGTCCTTGAGACTTTACAATATGGTTGGCACAATGAAAACCAAATAATCATTCCACTACTCTGAGGCACTGCGCATATCTGACAAGGAAACAATCATCCTACCAGCTCAGACAAGCTGCTGCTCAGCCCAGTGCCTGGAGTTCGGAGGTGCCCTACGTTCACAGAAAGAGAAGTGTTCTCATACTCTGCCACCCAGCACGTTTTCAAGTCCTAGAATGTGTTTCCACTGTACCCTAGAAATGCCAGGTGTTACAGTTCAGTGTGATCTTTTAACATTTTACATTCTAGAATTAAAAGGGTTTAATTCAAGACACTAACTTTTAGTATGTGCACAATGGAAGCTAAAGCTCCAGCCTCTTTTTCTTTACATCAGATAATTCAACTTGAAATAAACAATATTCTCCATTTGATTACACAGATAAGCCACTGAAGTCAGTAAGCTGTCCTGTATTTAAGTATCTCATATTTGCTGTTCATAATATACATTGTCAGAAGAAACTTAGATGAGTTATCATGTGTTTTCAAAGGGAGTTTTTGTTAACATGGAAGCTATTTGGAAGACCTACTACAGAAATCTTATAGCTTCTCCACTGCACAACCAAATCACATCATGCCTTCTGTGAGTGTCAAAGAGAAGGAAAGCAAGAAAAAACATAGGAAGGAAGCTGAAAGTAATCACACAAAAAGCAAATGGACAGGTCCAAGATAAACCAGTTGGGAATCCTTGAAAAGTACCACAGCCTCCATACAAGTCGGCTTTGGACCTCACCGTCCCTTGCCATGCTTCCTCCTCTGGTATCAGCAAACAAACACGTTCAACTATGAAAAGCACGATGCTGTTCTGTTATTACTATAGAACTTCCATTGCCAGCTACTTCATGAATATTTACAGGATTAAAAAAAACCACTCAAGACAGAAGTTTAATCAGGCCCACACCATGAGATAATCCTTCTCCTCTGGACTAAGATGCCCTATACACTTGAGTTAAACCATCTATGTTCAAGCTAGTGAGAAGTTCAAAGTCAATTTTCATCATCTCTTCCTTCCAAATTTTCAGGAACATCACAAGAGTGAGGCTCTTCTCTAAATGCTGTAGCTGTGAAAAAAGCTTTACTGACAAAGGTTTTCAAAGCTGCTCAATAAGCAAAGAGGCTTCCCCTTTCTACTTTGCTACTTTCTTCCAGATAAGATTGTCTACAAAAATAAAGCAGTACAATGGAATGGTCAGCGAAACCAGTCAATACAAAGTACATTTTTTGCCAGTTTCTGCAGTTAGAGTTTTCAGCAACTATTTTCAATCATTAAGATGAGGACTTCTCATTGTAACTGTGATTTAGACACTAAGTCTATCATGCCTCTTGCAGCTTTAATTCTACACCCTATCAGTAAAGATGCTATTTATGTTACACTGCAGTCTTTCTTAGCGCACGGAACAAGACACCAATAACACACACTGTATCACACATGGATGCTCAGAAGTCTAGCGATACATTTCTCGCCAATTCTGCAGGTTCACATCACTTGCTATTCCTTCACAGCATTTTTCCACAGATCCTTTTCTACCAATGCACAGATTATGCATCTATAAAAAGAAAAAAAAAAAAGTGACTTGAGAGAAGGCACATGACTTTAAAATGCATTTAACAGCCTCTTTGTATACTGGCCTTTTTTGTTAAGGACAGTCAACAGCCAGAGTAAAACAAAGAAACATGCACTGATCTTATTACTGTAAAGGTCAGGGACAGGAAACTCAGGAAAAGAGGAACGGGAACAATTTTCCTTTTAAATGGGCAACTGCATACAGGAAGAACAATGTTCTTCCAGAAGACACTGGCAAAACACACAGGTGAAGCCTGACCACAACAACTCAGCAAGAAAAACTCCAGCTACAATGAATGAGCACACAAGTGTTTTCCAGAATGAGGACCGGTTGGTTTGGGTTGGTTTTTGTGTGTGTGGCGGTTTTGTAGCCCCCGCCGCCAGCGTCGGAAGGCGGCGTAGGGAGGAGTGAGTTTCTACAAGTTTTTTTACAAACGGGAAGGGGACGAAGCCTCGGCCAAAGGCCGAACACGGAACAGGGGCTGTTATGAATCCACGCGAAGTCTATGGGGTGGCGGGGGAGGCGGACACGGAGGACGCGACCAGCGAAACTGGTATCGCGTCATGAGGAAAGGGGGAAAAATCTATCGCCCCGGCAGTACACGAAGGGGGTGAGGCGAGGGAAAGCGGCGACCTGGCATAGCGGTAC